GCCTCTCGAATCAGTCGGACGAGGTCATAATCTGAATTATCAACACCAAACTCCTATCATTGAGTACTGTGTTGTGAAATGGTCGTCTTTTGAAGGTGACACCAGCGCACATCTCTTTAAGAGTTGTGCATTTCCGGTTCTGAACCATGTTATCTAACTATATCAGGTAGTCGAAAACCAAACCTCGTCCGATTCCAGCAAGAAATCCACAGAGCCTTGAACATTTGGACAAAAAATAGGTCGCTGAATAATCTGCTAACCCTCACGTAAGTTGGAGGTTGAATATGTGGGATTAGCGATAGTGTCAAACTTCACCAGTTAAGCCACTTTCACTAGTTACGACAGCACAGTTGGTCGTTGACATTTAAAAGCCGAAAGCCACACACATGAACGCGACTAGCCATCCAGCGTTGCCAGGGTTTCCTTATCGGTAGTTTAGCTTGATGTTAAGTGTTATTTTCAGTGACGTTTCGCCAACATCGGTAGTTCCGTTTAGTAATTACTATCCCGACGATTCTGCGGCAGAACCAAGTGGGCATTGGCGATATGCATGGGCCTCAAACTGCGGTATTTCAAGTTGTCACCACAAACCAAGGAAATATTAGGCGTCTCCAAAATCGTGTAGTTCTGGTAACGGTTGATTGTAGGTCTCGCATCTTAGCCGTGATTGATTCGTTTGAAAGTCGACGCGACCAATCGGAGACAGTTCAAATATGTGAGATCGTTGGCATGTCGTTTCCCTTGACTTTGACATCGACTTCCACCAAATCGTATCCTACAGATTTCCCCCAAAATTAGTAGTATGTACGCCGCTTGATTTCGTGAACAGTATCGACCTCAAGTGTGTGTTTTAACAAGGTGGATTGTTGAAACTGCACATAGAGATCGGACGTAGTGGTAATCGATTTACTAAATGGGTCTTACAGCTGCATCGAGGTACATGCTGTCTCGGGTCTGGCCAATTCGTATAAGATGTTTTTATTTAAATCGCCTGCTTCTCTTCCAACTGAGCAAATACTGATGAACAGATGTATAGAGCTGATTGCTGATTGATCAGTTCTATTCTTCTACCGTTGTCTAACACGGATTTTGCTTATCATTGGCTTCTTCTTCAGACTCCTGAAAAAGTGGTGTGTGTGTGTGTTTGTGTGGCAATTATCATCATTAGTGGAATGTTCAAACTCCTTGTTTCACGAATCCGCGTAGCATGTCAAGAGTCATTAGGCAATTTAACGCGCCGTCGTGAAGGTGTCAAAGTAGAACAACTCTGCACCCTCCAAAAACTGTAACTTGGACGCGTTGTCATGGCAGCATCTGACTTTTATCAAGTTGAACTGGATTGTGCATGAGTAAACTGCTATCGTACAAGTGGCCATGAGGTACGCGGTTTTAGTCCAAGGAGAATCTAGAAGGTGGACAGCCTTGAATGTCGTCTGTGCTGGTGGTTGAACCACAATTGAAGCATTCCTAAGAATCGTCTGAAGAGGGCGAGAAGTGAAAAAAAATAGATGTGGGGCTCTAAACAGATTTTCCAATCAATTTACGCCTGTGAAGCCACAAAAGGCGATAGGTGATAGCAGCAGCCCTTTTGGCTCCTAAGACCTGATTGGTAAACCACATCAATGTGTATCCTTAAGCGCCACTAGTTTGACACATTTGCCCAAGCAAACTGATGTAATTTAAGTAGCTGCCATTTCTGCCCCTTATTTCACCAGAATCGGAGGTGATAAATGTGCAACTATTTGCCAAATCTGGAACAAAATGCTGTAGGCAAACGTAATGAGGGTGTCACCAAAATATTCAACAGTCGTGGAGAATCAAAGACGGAAGGTGCGACTAACTGCTTTATGACATGAGTGCCGTCAATCAGACTGCACACTAGTTCGGTTAGAAGAGACCCCTTGTGATGAGAAATAGATCGGGTATCGAAGGTCAAGGACACAGCTTGATGCCAGACACACTGGTTCCGAAGCTGAAAGTTGGCGAAAGTCAGTATGAAAGGTGTGCAAAAGCTCCGGATCTCGGACTGAGCTTGTAAGTAGTATGGGTGATTAGGGATTGGCAGCGATGAACAAAGTAGCCCAAGCCACTAGCCGACGATTACTCGCCATCTCAGCATGCCCCTACTTCTATCTCATTTGTCTAATTGTGCTCGAGTTGATATCGACTGGTTTATTGACTGTGCTTGGCATTGCTTACCTCCTCGTCGAGCACTGACTTGTCCACGGCTGGCTCTTACGAATATTCTACATTAAGCAAATCCTCCTGTCCTGAAATGACACCTAATGCTGACTTAACATCACGGCATGGTGACATCAAGTGTACCGCGAGACCTCAGTAACAATGGAGGTTGTTGAGAGCGGACTTGTAGTTATTCCATTTCAAAAAAAGGAAACACGCCAACCTGGTGCCAACCCACCACCAGCACACGATCCAACGCCGTTCAGGCTCATCTGCTCACTGTATCTCTACAGTGCAGATTGCATTCGGATGTGAATGGTCGCTGTCATCGTAGGACATTGAAGAAGCATGCCAATCGTGCTCAGCCTACCAATCGTCCTCAAACCACTAAATTAGCAAATTGGGCAAAATCCTAAAACTGGCAAATATGCCTGCACGGGGAAAATTTAATATATTTTGTTTGTATTCAATTATCCACTGTTCACCGAGTACTTATTTAGTTGGAGCATGCGGTTAAGCGTAAGACCAGTTCACCAATCCATGCAGTTCGGTGGTTTAATTGTTATTTTTCTATGCTGCCTACTTTGAGATATCTATGCACTGTCCGTGTATACACAAGTCACCGTCATAAGTAGGCATTATACGTAGTTTTCAGCTGATCCTCTGTTAACTAAATTATTCCTTTAAAATGACTTCTTGCCATAGCAACAACCTGGAATTTCACATTTTCACGCCATGTCGCAAAACGTCATGCAAATTCAACACAGAAGAAAAAGTTTCGCTAAGAGGCGTGAGTGGTGCAGATATATTCGTGCGACTTAACGCTGATAACTCTAAAACAAGTAAACGCTAAGTGAGATTGATTGGACCTAACATTATATTTACGAATGAGGTCTAGATCTTCTGTAGTTTGCGACAGTCGTCTTCGGGCGGTGGTTAGTTATTGGTTGAAGTTACTCGTGATATGTGATATGTGCAATTTACGTGCATTAAGTTGGTAGATATCACAAGGGATTGATTGTGTGGGGAACCGAATTTACCGTAACAAGCCGAGCGCACCAGTATACATTCGGCCACTTCTACGCAACTTCATCGACCACCTGTGATTCTTGTTTCGAGAATTAAATTACTCTTGACTAATTAAAGACGATGGTGCATGCAGTGGTTGTTTGCCGACGGTTAGACATCAGAAAAGCTAGAGGAAACAAATTAACGATGGCGTGAATATGCATTGGGGGGAAGGGATGTCATCTGGCAGACGTATCGATTGTACAAGTTTGTCAGGAAGCCTTGGCACATTTCGTCAGTCTCCATCAACACAGTGATAAAGGCTTGATTAAGAGTGGTCAAATGGATGACGACAGGCCTTTGGTCGACTCGTGACACTGTTGGTCGATGCACCAGTTCTCGCTTTCTCCACCTCAGACATGGATGCGTCCAATGAATAAAAAGGTTCTGTGCTATCAAAAGCTAAACGCATTTACAGCACCACGAGGTGAAGTGTCCTTGTGGCAGCGCGTTTGTGACCACATATGATGCAAAGTACTTATAGCCGTAAAATTAGTGCTGACATTCAGGTAATAGTAGAAGGACCGACTATGCAGGAGACTTGATCTTTCATTTGGTAGACATGGTAAGTTAA